GGGGGGTGGGGGTGGTAGGCGGGTGAGCCACGCGGTGACTTGGGCTGGACTGGAAATTCACTTCCGGTCGGACCAGAGTGGAGCGCGGCTCGGCCTGGCCCAGCCCGGCCCCAATCCCATAAAATACTTGTGGGCCTTGTCGCCCCCTGGCAGCCCTGCAGCTAGGAGAGAGAGGGAGATACAGGGGTTTGGGAGGGGGTGGAGAAGAAAGCATTTGAATCGCTTCTGTCTGGCGACGGTCCAGCGTCCCCTTGACCTACATATATACATTTACGCTGCCACTCGCGCTCACCAATCCCTTAGGGAATTCTTCTGTGCAGGACCTAATTTGCATGTTTTTGGACAACTATTGAAGTCTCGATTCTATAACGTGCATTGGAATCTTTAAAGAGTTCTTCCAAGACATTAAGAATGTAAAGGACTAGGGCTACGCCGCGACCGATTTCATTTACGTTCAAAATTACACTTCAGGGTTTACGTGAGGCCCAAGAGGGCAGTGGATTTTGTTTTCTTTCCCTTTCTTTGTGAAGATGTTAACATCGACCAACTGGTCGTGTGTGTGGGGTATAGGTGGACCAGAATCTAGCCATCGTGATGATTCTTGGGGCGGGAAGTTCAAGGGCCATTTGTTTCCCCATAATAACTCAGTGCAATGGAGAGGGGAGAGCGAGAGGGTGGCGGCAGGCAGTTTGAAAAGTGATTTCAAGAAGCTAATGATAGGCCCTTGCCGTATAGGTCTGGCGGGCTGATGGTTTGGGGTTCTCCTGGTCGTAGCAGCCACTCTCTCATCAGCACTGGACTTTTCGAGATAGATTGGAAGGGTGGTCGTAAAGAGCCCTCTTGTCCTCTTTTTGCACGAACACATATACGATGAAATAAAACACGTCGATTTTTGATAGTAGATGTAAAAAGTCGCAGTACTGGAGTTGTCGCTGTATCGTTATTCTTGTTTGTACGAGTGCTGTTATGAAGTGTCGTAACATTTTGATTCTAATCTTGTTTCAATTTCCGTCCGTGCAGGTCATTAAAGACTACCAGCTGTTCATGGTCGTCGGAGTCCTGCTGGTCATAGACCTGGGGATCATGACCACCTGGCAAGTCGCCTACCCCTTCTACAGAGACACCAAGCAGATGGAGCCTTACGTAAGTAAAACTAACCAAAAGAAGCAAACTATCATTAAATGTTTTCGGCGGACGCAATAATTTCCAAACCATTGTCTCCCTATGCAGCCACACCCGTCCAGTGACGACATCATGATCATCCAGGAAAACGAGTACTGCATGAGCGAGCGCATGACTATCTTCGTGGGATCAATATATGCGTACAAAGGACTGCTTATGGTAAGTAATGGGCTGTGAATTTGATTTGTAGAGAAGTTCTTGAAAATGCCCTCTCAGTGGGAACCGTTACGATTTTATTGCTATTTCACCAAAGGCGCGAATAGTTGGAATTAGAGAATAATGAGACTGGGAAAAAAATTAATGCCAGGGTTGGGAGGAGCGTACTCCGCCTGGGAAGAGATAGGGTTGCGTGCAGCAAGAAGCTCCTTGCAGCAGGCTGCCTAGTGTAGGCCAGGGCAAGCAATGAGCAAAAAACTGCAACAATCAGGGAGGGCTACGCGCGGAGTTAGGTACGTGCTCAGGCCTCAGACTCTACCACGCGGCACCACGTCCTGCCCCACCCCACCCCACGCCCCACCAGAGTAGTATACATAGTCCCATCCACGCTCACAAAGTTTGGCATGAGGATTTACTGAGTCCGGCCGCCGCCTGCTACTGCGGCTGTGTCTACACTCATCGTTAACAGTGGTCTTGGGCTTGGCTTGGCTGTAACCGACCGGACAGAAATTTGCTGTCAGCTTCATAGCATTCAATAACATATTTCTAATGGTGGTTGCGCAGTACCTCGAAAAATGAAAAGCGCTCAATTTGGCTGTAGTCATTTTACTAGAAAAGTTAAGCAATGGTTTTGCGAACTCCGTCCCCTTTCTATATTTCATCAAAACGTTTTTCCTAGGGTTTACTTTTGAAACAGGGGGCAATTATTTCGGGATAACGTTTACACCACCATGGAATACGCAGCGGGAGTAATTGAAAACCAATGGAATCACGAAAAACAATGAGAATCACTGGTAAGTCTTCTGTGAATTACTGAAGGAATGATTCTAAGGGAATCTTTGTGAAATCCCAAGAAATTTCTAACGGTATAATCCAACCGCACCACCATTCACTTTTGTTTTTAAAGAGCGTCCAAACCGAAGAAGAGGTAGGTAGCTGTGGGGAGAAAAGAGAGCAAGGGAGTGGGGGCCCGATGTAAATAATCAATGCGAACAGAATGTTTTTAGACCGGTTGGGATTCTGAGAATCAGAGTGTATATACTGGAGAGAGAGAGAGAGAGAGAGAGAGAGAGAGAGAGAGAGAGAGAGAGAGAATCTCCATCTCGCTCTTGCCCTCCAACTCTCTTACTCTCTCTCGTTTGTATTCAGAGCTGGTGGTAAGGAAATGTCTGCTGATAGGAAGCTGGGGCTGGGCCCTGCTGCTGGCCCGGTGGCGGCAGCGAGGAGCTGGCAAGAGGCTGCCCCCGAGGGCCGGAGCCGCGGCGAAATTGAAAGAAATGGATTATCCCGGAGAGATGGGAAAAGACTGAGCACGCGGGAAAAGGAGGGGGGAGGGGGAGGCTGAAACTGAACTGATTCACTGATGCTGCTCAGCCGCTTTACATTGGCGTGTGCCGTTTTGCCGCTTTGATCACACAACCATGCCACCTCCTCTCTCGTACTCCTTTCTGAAAAAATGAAATCAAAACTTCTTATATACTCTGTATTAGGTAATGATGTGAAGCATTGTGCCATGTATTACTTTAAGTGAAACATCATCCGCAGACCTGAGTTGCGACAGTGTATGCATTTGCTCCTTATGGCCTGACCACAGCAGACAACGAAAAGCGCGCGTGTCTCCCTTCGCTTCATTCTCTCGATGGTGTGGTGCTGGTGCTGCTCCCCTGAAGAAAAGGGCGAGGGAGAGGGGGGAACTGGGTGGGGGTTGGGAAAAGAACGGGGCTGACAAGGGTTTTACCTGACGTCACTGAGACAAGACCATATTCCGACAAGATGGCGAGTGGGCGACCTCCTGAGTCCCAGGCCCAAGGAGGACACCTCTCTGTAGTCGCCCCGGGGTTGCCGCGAGCCGTTAAACCCGCTGGGAAGAGGGAGAATATGTTGCATTTAAAACCAGTTTTGTTTATTTTTTCTGCAATGATTCATTTTGGTAAAGCTGGAAAGAAGAAGAACGAGGGGAACAACAAAACCGAAATCACTTTGCTTGCACATGGTTACTTCCGTTTTCTTGCTCCCCACATCCTTTTGCACGTCAGCTTTACCGGAATGCTTTATTATTTACACCCCCAAAAGGAATAAGATGAACATAAAGTACGCATATTTTGCAGAATACCGTTCAAAGATAGACATTGACATAGACATCGCTGCTCTTTAAACCCGTCGTGGTTCGGAGAATCAATTTTTTTGCGGGGTTAACATCTTGTGTTTACGTATGTGCCATGTCGTATTTGTGGGTGAGTCACTGAGCGAGCAACCCGAGCGAAAGCAAGGGAAGCGAGCAAATTTCATGGCGAGGTGAAAACGAGCATTATTACGTCACGCTCGCAGATACAGATTAAGCTAATGCCTGTACTATTGTAGCTGCAGCAACAGCTATATTCACAAAACAATAGCTGTAGCTGTAATAGCGGGGGCGGCTGCCTCTGCGACTAATAGGAAGTTTCCAGTTGCTCTGCGAGGTCAGCACGGGGACCAGAGGTCGCCACAGGTCCTGGCTAGTGGATGGGAGCTGGAACACGTAAACGACGCGATGCCAGGGCCCCATCATCCGCCAGGTCAATTTCTTTTCCCTCATCACGGCCGTTAGTCCGTCACGGCCGACCCTCTTGGCGCCTTTTGCTAAGAGCCGAAAAGGAAAAGGGAGGGGGGAGGGGTGTTGGCATCATGTTACAACATCATTAAAATGTGATGAATACAGCGACGATCGCTGCTGCTAGACGACCGGGACCAGGGGGCGCTGATGATGATGATCTCAATAAAAGTGACAGGAGAGAAAGCTGAAAAAATGTAAAGATGATTGTTTACAAAGTGCGGCGTAATGAATGACGCCTCAGGAGTGAAGGGGGCTCTGCGAAAGAAAAACGCAAACTCCGTGTGACTCGGCCTGACCGCCTGCCTTTACCGCAGCAGGTGGGCGCCTCTTTCGACTATCGCCTGACTATTAGAACCATTACCGACCAGTACACAGCGAACAGGACGCTATGTCCGGCGCGTGATGATGAACCCGATAATGAAACAGTGCTGACTGACCATGAATAAAATCGAACTCCCCACCGCGCCACATTGTGTGCCTCTAGAGAACTCGTTATACACGAGAATAATATACTCGCAAGAAGCTCACAAGTACTCGCGCAAAACTCTCGACAACTCGCTAAATACTTTTGAATACTCGCGAAACACAATATTCATCCACTTGGAAAGTGGGTGACATCTCGACCCCGGCCTGTTTCTGTCCTATGACCACGAACGTAATAAGCTAGTGCGGCCTAGTGCGGCCGCAAGGCCGCCACCATCTTGCCTCGACGCGCTTTAAACTTCAGTCACTTTAAGGCCGCGGAGACGCTCGTGACCCCTTCGATCCGCCACACACCACGACACTGCTGGCCTACATGCAAGAGAGAGAAAGCTAGAGGGATAGCGAGGCGGAGGGAGAGGGAAAGAGAGAGAGAGAGAGAGAGAGAGCGGACGGAGGGGGCGGACACGGCCCCCGAGGAGACGAAGGAAGGGTGGTGGTACGGTACGGGGTGGACTAAAGTCGCGAAATTTTAATGAACACGCGGGAAACTTCTTTCGCGCCATACCATCAGCCGCCGCCACCGCGCTGTC